GGGATCACTAAAGAGCTAATAGAAAGTACATACGCGAGGGTATGATATTAATATCGAGAATATTTGTGAGCATATCACAGGACGGAAATATTTTGCACCCAGCTGTTTGTTGGCAGAACAACGATACGCTAAAGTTAATTGATCGAATACAGGGAAGTATTTATTTATCATCTCACTTGCGAACATCGAGGTTTTGGCGGAATTGTACGATCATGTTGTCTTTCTTAAATAATAACTTTTTCAATAAATGTTCATTTTACTTTTGCGTCTTTATTATATGTCGGGTTTTCATTTATTTTAAATTCGAAATTGTCCGAAATACTCCAACAGGTGTATAAGTACAATATAACTCCCGTTTTTTCAATTTGATTGTTTTACATTCTGCTCAAAAAACAACGTCGTTTTGCAGTCATCTAACATAACTCTCGCGACCAAATCTTTTTTGTTTTGTATGGCATCGTCTTGGCGCAATTTATTGCCGACTGAATTTTAATTGTGTTTTAGGATAAGTTATTTTATGTTTGTTGGTTTCTAAACTTTACAAACTTGGGTAGCAATTACTATTAATGTGAGATTTGTGCATATGAACGATTGAATATCGCGACTGGATGTCCTATATCTGAGAATGCGTACTCTCTTTCAACATTAATTTTCAGGATATCAGTGTTCATGTGGTCGAATAAAAATTATTTATCAAATGAATTGGTATTTCGAGACACTCTCAAAATTATTTGGGATCCACTATCATATCATTCGTTTATTTTTTATATTCATGTTTTTTTCAAGAATCACCCTCGTTATATTTCGTGTACCTTAGCAAAAGAAAACTCGTTGGTGTAATCGTTCCTATTAGTGTAATTGAAATATATGGAAACCTCGCAAGTGGCGTTGTGATGCGAATATTTGATACTAGGTCAGCAGCATTACAAAGAGTGCTATTTATGAATGCTGAAAGTACATGGCATTACTAAACATTTTGCCAATATATGATGTTTTCTGCCCGATTTAAACTAATTCGCACGCAAACCAAGGCATGTGGACATTCAAAAATTACTTGTCTTTGGGTAAGCTCTGAAATAGTATAATATAAATGTAAATGAGAAATTAGGTCACGCTAGCTCAGGAAACGGGAGGATTTTCAAAGTGATCTTGTGTAATATTTCGGAGAAAAAAGTTTGAAAGGAAAGTAGGTCAACCTATCTCCTAAAACAGGGGAGTATCCTGCTTAATATTTCGGAGGGAAGGTAGGTTAACCTATCTTTTAAAACAGCGGGTGGCGACTTTCAAAGTGGTTCAAAATCACAAAATAATAATTATCAGATTAGGTTTAGGGATAAATCGAAAAGTTGAATTTCCAGCGCACGGGCACACCTAACCCTAATTAGTTGATTTGCTATTTATATTTTTGGGGAGGGGGGGGGGATTATTTTGCACGGGATTTGTACAAATGATCCACCCTGTAACTAATATGGTTTCCAGTCTGCCTGTTCCAATCGTTGTCTGTTAGACGGAAGGAGTAACAAATGTGAAAGCCTTTGCTGTTCACGCGAGTAAGCAATTGACACTGTGATACTTGCATGAAAGTTTTGTAGCGGCAGGTGGTAGCAGATGTCCTTTCGTTGCCGATGAATTCACTCGTTCTAATTAAACATGAATTCGCTAAAAGGGAACTCGTTAAGGAAAGGCTTCTCTTTAATTCATAATATTAACCAGAAGAGCGCTTTTTCGAGTATCTATGCCGTTTTAAATGGGTTATATGAAAGGCTAGGGCACCTAACTTGTTAAAATCGGCAAAAGCACTTTCGCACTTTTTTTTTCGACTGCGAAGCACTTTCGCACTCATAATTTGCTTAGAGTTAACACTGAAGACAGGTAAACAATGTATTTGATGGAAATTTCTCAGGAGTTTAAAATATCAGTGTTTTGACCCAAAGCTGAGTTACGTGAATACTCAACTCTGAGTTTTTTGTAAATATAGAAACGTTGAACAGGATAGGTAAGACAGGTAAACAATGTATTTTATGGAAATTTCTCGAGAGTTTAGTATCAGTGTTTTGACCCAAAGCTGAGTTAAGTGAATACTAAACTCTTGAGTTTTTTGCAACTTTAGAAACGTCGAACAAGATAAGTGAGACAGGAAAACAATGTATTTTATGGAAATTTCTCAAGAGGCTAGAATCAGTGTTTTGACCCAAAGCTGAGTTACGTGAATACTCGACTATGAGTTTTTTGTGAATATATAAACGTCGAACAAGATAAGTAAGATAGGTAATCAATGTATTTTATGGAAATTTCTCAAGAGGATAGTATCAGTGTTTTGACCCAAAGCTGAGTTACCTGAATACTGAGTTTTTTGTAAATTTAAAAACGTCGAACAAGATAAGACAGGTAAACAATGTATTTGATGGAAATTTCTCAGGAGTTTAATATCAGTGTTTTGACCCAAAGCTGAGTCACATGAATACTCGACTATAAGTTTTTTCGTAAATTTAGAAACGTCGAACAAGATAAGTAAGACAGGGAATCCATGTATTCTATGGAAATTTCTCAAGAGGCTAGTATCAGTGTTTTGACCCAAAGCTGAGTTACGTGAATACTCGACTATGAGTTTTTTGTAAATTAAAAAACGTCGAACAAAATAAGACAGGTAAACAATGCATTTTATGGAAATTTCTCAAGAGTTTAGTATCAGTGTTTTGACCCAAAGCTGAGTCACGTGAATACTCGACTATAAGTTTTTTTGTAAATTTAGAAACGTCGAACAAGATAAGTAAGACAGATAAACAATGTATTTTATGGAAATTTCTCAAGAGCTTAGTATCAGTGTTTTGACCCAAAGCTGAGTTACGTGAATACTCGACTCTTTGAGTTTTTTGTAAATTAAGAAACGTCGAACAAGATAAGTAAGACAGGTAAACAATGTATTTTATGGAAATTTCTCAAGAGTTTAGTATCAGTGTTTTGACCCAAAGCTGAGTTACGTGAATATTCGACTCTTTGAGTTTTTTGTAAATTTAGAAACGTCGAACAAGATAAGTAAGACAGGTAAACAATATATTTTATGGAAATTTCTCAAGAGTTTAGTATCAGTGTTTTGACCCAAAGCTGAGTTACGTGAATACTCGACTCTTTGAGTTTTTTGTAAATTTAGAAACGTCGAACAAGATAAGTAAGACGGGTAAACAATGTATTTTATGGAAATTTCTCAAGAGTTTAGTATCAGTGTTTTGACCCAAAGCGGCGTTACGTGAATATTCGACTCTTTGAGTTTTTTGTAAATTTAGAAACGTCGAACAAGATAAAACAGGTAAACAATGTATTTTATGGAAATTTCTCAAGAGCTTAGTATCAGTGTTTTGACCCAAAGCTGAGTTACGTGAATACTCGACTCTTGAGTTTTTTGAAAACTTAAAAACGTCGAACAAGATAAGACAGGTAAACAATGTAATTTATGGAAATTTCTCAAGAGTTTAGTATCAGTGTTTTGACCCAAAGCTGAGTTACGTGAATACTCGACTCTGAGTTTTTTGTAAATTTAGAAAAGTCGAACAAGATAAGTAAGACAGGTAAACAATGTATTTTATGGAAATTTCTCGAGAGTTTAGTATCAGTGTTTTGACCCAAAGCTGAGTTACGTGAATATTCGACTCTTTGAGTTTTTTGTAAATTTAGAAACGTCGAACAAGATAAGTAAGACAGGTAAACAAAGTATTTTATGGAAATTTTTTAAGAGTTTAGTATCAGTGTTTTGACCCAAAGCTGAGTTACGTGAATACTCGACACTGATTTTGGTAAATTTAGAAACGTCAAAAGATAAGTAAGACAGGTAAATAAAGTATTTTATGGAAATGTCTCAAGAGTTTAGTATCGGTGTTTTGACCCAAAGCTGAGTTACGTGAATACCAGACACTGAATTTTGTAAATTTAGAAACGTCAAACAAGAAGAGTAAGTTAGGTAAACAATGTATTTTATGGAAATTTCTCAAGAATATAGTATCCGTGTTTTGACCCAAAGCTGAGTTACGTGAATACTCGACACTCTAGTATTCAAGAGATTACCAATTTGCAGAGATTTCAATTATTATTCAATACCAAGTAACACGGACATGATCTAAAATTAAAAGCATAAAAATGTCAACTATCCGCTTCACAAATATCGCATCCCGGGGCCAGTAATGATAATATTGTTTGCTCAAAATTGGGAAAGTAATTTACAAACCGTGATACGAATCCTACACTGAAGATAAAAATCAGAATAAAATTAATTTGTGTTGTGAATGCACTTCCTAAATAGTTGTCTTTAACATCTTCGTCGATGTGAACTCACAATCCAGTCCGAAATATAAAAACCAAACTTCGATATACGTGATACTTACTTATAAACTATATATAACTTGAATAAAAAATACGATTTTTCCCGTCACTAATTACGGCACATGAAAAATCAACTTCATTCACAATAAATTCCAAGTAATAGTTTTACATTTCATGCATTTAATCGACGCTACATGCGAGGGTGTTTTTGTTCATATAAACCAATACGACGCTACTGACATCTGCGAGTCATAACGTAGTTCCCTCCAAAATTAATTTTCGCGATTTTAATTTTTTTTTCTAAATGCAGGTAACCGCTGACTACGGACTAATAATGGTCATTGTTTAAAATAGGACTTGCAAAAAAATATTCACCAACTCCTCTGCATGGATTTGGAGGTTCGAATCCCATGAAGAGATAGTTATGTGTGAGAGGACTGCTAGACTCCTCCTCGTGGTAGGGTGGTTCATGTAACCGGTGGTCGGTTACGGCTTCCTCCACTATCAAGTCCATGCTTGTGAAAAACAAATAACTAACTTATCCCATACCCAACATGGAATGGTAACCGGACGGGAGGCCGTGGGTTGACATAAGGTTATTAAGCCACCTCATCGGCTTTCTTCTTCTCCAGGATAAAATGTCAATCCTATCGTTAATATCCTTACTAATGTATCTAAGAACATACCCAAGTATATTGTTCTGATCAGGTTTCAGCTGCCTCATGCGTAGTCGCTGGCTACGCCAGAGGCAGCTGTTTTTATTTGAAGGTGAAGGTTGAACTAAAATTGAAAAAAAAAATGTTAATATATGCAAATTCAGGTTGTTAATAAATGAAAGTTAATTTGTAAAGTTAGAAGATTTTATCTTGCACATAAGGCAATTTAATTTTTAGCCAAATAGAATATAAAATCTGAAATTGGTTGCAATAATTTTAGCATACTAAGACATAGAGAAAGTAGTAAGTCACTAATATATCATCAATCCAATGCAGCGACAATTTCAAAACTAGAGACAAACAACAAAATTAGAAGAGATACATGGGATTGCACAATACTTCTACAATACTTCTAGTTGTAACACTAGAAAAATATTTTGCCTTGCTGTTGGGAATACTCACTTTTAGAATTAACCAGATTTTCTTTGAAAAAGCTGGAGGATGGTGTAAGAGAGAATCGAACTTTTTTCTTCACACAATACGAGTCGGAAGATCTCCTAGAATCTTCCGACTCGCTGTGGATGATATCGACATCTGAATGAAATGCATAAATATTAGCATCAATTAATTGATATACATTTAAATTTTTGGTACAGAATTAGGTGCAGGTGTTAAAGTCGAAAGTTGAAATCTTCTAGAGTTGCGATACAAAACTCATATATTTAATGAAAGAATCTCAAATAGCCCTATGTTGAACAAGCATTCTCAATAGTCAAATAAAAAAGTTTGTATATGCCAGAGTTTTCCATGTTTTTATAAATTGAAGTCAAAATTGCCTTCAACCTGGAGTTATTTTCAAATTTTAAGGGGGCGAAAGAAGAACCAATATTCTCGTCTAACTGACTAACTAACCTCTTAACTCTTTTCTTTCCTCCAGCTTTCGTTTTAATATTGATCTCGGTGATGGATAGCTGTGAAGCAAAAGATAACAAGTTGAATGAAATACAAAACAATGTAAAATGGTAAAGACGGGTGATTACATATTAGTTAAGAATTTTTATGTGATAATGAAAACATCTTTTTTGGTGAATCAATGCAAAAATATGCGATCTTGCACCATATTTGGGTTTTCGCTTGACATCAGTTTTGGTAAATTATTTGAAAATGACTATAAAGACCCAGAAAAGTCAAATATTCACATGTGGATATTTTACAAACTTTAAATAAAAATGTTACCTGGAGTTTTGATTCCTGGAACGTTTAGCGAGAACTTCTTGGTTCTGAAAATCAAGCAAAAGGGATATTCAACTACATATGTACCAGAGATGGGCCACAAGTCCACAACTACAAGGTTTACTTTATTATTAGAGTATAAGGGAAAATTTTCCTGAACAAAGTTTCAACAGTGAATACTAAATGTGCTTTCAATACTTTTGTCATATTTAAATAAATGAATGTTTATACAAACAAAAAACATAAAAAAGAATATCTCATCGAAATACATTTTACATCGAAACCTATTTTTGGTTAAGCTGAGGGATTTTCAATTTGAATCCAAATATAAAAATTATTGATTATAAATTATTATTGTAGTTATATTTCAATTCTTGGTGGCATGTTATTAGTCATATCATGCATGGTCGGAACATGAAATTCTTAAACAGAAATTAATTGGTAAAACGATGTTAGCATATTTTGGTCATCAGAATTTTCAAGGTATATAAATAGCATCAATTTGAAACTGACAAGTATTTTTAAAAGCTTGTATTACCGTATTTCCTGGTGAAAAGGTTCGTTTCCTCGATCCAAATAATTGACGTAATTTTGAGTTTGCCATTTGTTTTTCCCTAGTGATTGAATGTCTAAAACAAAAATTTAAATTATAGGTCACCTCAAACAATTACTTCTAGTAGATTGAACAGACTTTGTGCAGGACCTGAATAAAAATGGGCTTTCTAATTCAGCTATATCAGTGGCCAGGCAGCCTAGTGGTGTCTGACTTATAATCATCATATGTTAAAACTATCAGTAAAAATACAAAAGCTCCTGGTATTTCCAAACTATAATAGCTTCGTACCGATCAGTGAGTGCTTGTGCAGAACCTTGTTTGAAGCAAAAGACATAGAAAACGCTGTATAAGAAAATTGTAATAAAAATAAACCTAGAAAACAATGCTCAAACGTGATCAAAAAACTGTCCACACAGACCCAAGTAAATCAATTCTAGCTTCAGATTTCAGTTAAAAGTATATCAACTCACTAATTTTTGATTGAACTATAATATAATTCTGACCAAAAAAGTTGGAAAATAATCATAATAATGGAAATGGTATGGTACAGTATTCTACTGTATTATTTCTGATCTTTGCATAAACATGTGTAACTCTAAACTAAGAAAACATATCATACTTGATTTCCACAAATATATTTCGTTTTGATGCCGGTCTTTTTCCAGAATTAGTTGAACCTATCATGTCAAAAAAATGTGATGAGATTTTATGGTATTCTGATCTGAAATTGACTAAGTCTTATGTCTTGACACAGATTGTATTTTTGTATGATAGGGTAACTTAGAAAATTTCAATTCACAGTATTATGAAAAGTGCTTCCTATATGTCTTTACTCTGGTGGACTATCACTGTATGCGTATAATACAAAAATACTGTATTGGTGTACATGACTCTTCGAGACACATAAAATGAAAACCATATTATCACTTACTTAGTAATGTCCAAGAAATAAAACATCTTGTACCATTCTTATTAGCAATTCAGAATTTGGAACTTATATGATTTTTTTAATATTTTGGGATTTCAATGAAAAGTAAGTATATTCCAAAACTCCCACATCATTTTCGAATAAAATAGATAATTACAAAAGAGAAAGGAAAAAAAAACTTACATTTGCTGTAATTTGTTTTATTGACGATATCAGGTAACTTCAACTAAAATAAAGAATATTGAAATATTTCTGTAAGTGTCATGTAAGGTGGCGTAAAAAGTTATATTTTATGAACAATATTTACAGTACTGTATTAATAAAGCAATAGTGGAAAACGGTAAGCCTTGTGCCAAAACTAAATTTAATCACAATCCTAAAAAATTTCTTGGACTATATTTCAGTTAGAACATCAAAATTCGGCTTAGTTTGGTGTGGCTGAATCAGCCAGGCAGGATTGAATTATCCAACGTGCCAGATTTGGCCTGGGGGCCTTAGTTTGCCCATGTCAGTTCTAGCTGGAGCTTAAAATATGCACAAATCATGCTAGACCACTGAAGATACAATATAATTTAGGTATAATCATACACAAACAGAAATTAAAGTGTGGAAAAGTTTTCTTCATTTGCGCAGAAGTAATTAGGAAATTAATGGGTTCTGTTTTATTGGGTCACCTAGTAGTAAAATAAAAGCGAAACTAGATATGAATTCATATGTACTGAATTAATTTAGACCAGGGGTTGACAAATTGCCACCACCGGCTAAATCCTATTGTTGGTTGTAATTAAAAGTCAAGTTCTGTCAATTTTTAAAAAACATTCCAATGTCAATTCAAGTCGAGGATTTTTTACACAGCAATAGAAAGTGCAAGTTCGCCATAATTTGAAGTTTAATGTGGCGATTGTTTGTAGGCAAAAATAATGTGGCATGAGCACTACCGGAAATGTGTATATTTGGCCCACAAGTACATAAAGTCTGCCGACAATTGATCTAGACATACGGCATAGTAATTAAATCAAATTTTCCAACTCTATCAAATTTATGAGTTCTGTTTATGACTGTTGGTTTTGCAGGACAGAAATCAATTTGAAATATTCAAGTTCTGAAAGAATTGACTGGTGATTGGGCAAATGATTCAAATTGATAAAGTGGGTTTTATGCACGATTACTGAAATTTGGGCCTATCAGTTCTACTGTCACAAAAGCATTGGGCTGAACTGTATTGGTATCGCAACATCTGTGATTCAAGTCATATATACACCACCTCACCCAGGATGTAACGAATTGAGTAAATTAAGGTATTTTCAAAATATTTGAACTCCTAACATAAGTGGTTCTCAAAAGGTGGGGTGAAAACAATATTGATGGGGTGTGGAGCAATTAAAAATATTTGCTAGATTTCATTTGCCAGGCTTATATTGGATGTTTACATTTTTTTATTTTTCAGAGGTGACATAGAGCTGTTGTGCTCGTCTTTTTATTATCCTTTGCGTGGAGCATGTTTGAGAGTGCAACTTCATGCTTTTAGTTCACAAATCTCAGATGCTAGAACATACTTTCGCGTCACTATCTGTTATTTGTAGCTTATAGCAGAGGTGTGCAAAGTGTGGCCCGCGGGCCAAATGTGGCCCACAAGGGAAAATTGTGCGGCCCGCAGAGAAGTGCCAATTTTGAATGGTGTGCGGCCATCGAAATTGTGTAATTCAGTTTACAATCTGGTATCAGAGACCAATTTATTGTCTATGCATATGACGTTATAGTGTCCTATATCTCCCAATATTGAAAGATACAAAAGCTAAATAAGTTTTGGTTTCAGCCTATACGTTGATTTTTTTGAAATCTACCAGTAATTTATAATAAAATTTGACAGCAAATTATTTGGAAGTGAATCTTTTCAAGTTTTACCGAAAACATCTCTATCGATATAACTTTTCACATTTGAAAAAAGTCATGGCTTCAAATATGGCACATTTCGACTCCAAATATTTTTTTCTAAAATGGGCGTCATAAAACCGCCTGAAAGACGAAGCCTCTGAAAATGAATATCGAATTGCTAGCACTTCCATTAAAGCAAATTTGGATAAAAGTAGTAGTGAAAAGAATCCAACAGCAAATTTCCCACTGAATTCGTTTAAACTTGGTGTGACAATAAATTTGAATGACAGTTTAAAAAATTTGTGACTTTAAACTCATCATTTCTGCAACTACCCTTAATAATGCCCTAAGATCAATAACAAAAATACATTATTTTGTAACTAAAAATGGCTTAGTTAAATAAAGGTGCAGCCCGCGGTTTTACTCAGTTTTTAATATCTGGCCCGCCCACGAAAAAGGTTGCACACCCCTGGCTTATAGTAAGCTAGTTATTTTCGAGGTGGGGGGACCAACTTGATAAGTTTGAGGACCACTGCCTTACATATTGTTACATATCAGTGGCTACTTGTACGTTCATGGTGAATCGAGTCATAAAAGAAAACTTACTGTGCATCTCGGGAGTCCTTGAAGAAATTTGTGAACTTGTACTTTGGTTATATCTGAAAAACAATAACAAATTTTGGATATATTGAAATTTTACACAAGCACTGATTTCTGATATTGATGGTTCTGTGAATAAAAAATGAAAAACTTGACTAAGAGCAGAATTTATGAACATGATTGATGAGTGTATTTAGTAACATCAATTATGACTGGGGCTGTCCAAAATTGTGTATTTTTTGATTCGAATCAAATCGAATACTTTTCTCGAATCTAACCGAATAATGGAATATTATTGCACAACCCAAATTCTGTTTTCATCATACAATAACAAACTTGGTATTGTGATAATATATGTGTAGTTACATCTAAAACACTGATGGTATTTTGCATAACTGAGTTTCAGGGTATAATAGGTGATCACATGCTTTACTCTATAAACTGGTCAAAAACTCTTTAAAGCGGTCCAATATACTTCAGTTACTCAATTCCAATGGAATCAGTTTTAAAAGGGCATGCGAAGCCTTTAAGGCTATTCTAATCCTATTATCATTATTCTTTAACTTTCTGAGTAATTTTTAGCAAAATGATTATTCTAATACAGTAATGCTAATCTTTAATACAGTATAAATAAAACCAGCTTCCTAAGAAATAATAAGATCGCAATAATGCCGCCTAGTTTGATGATCTTTGTACAGCAACCATCCATAATTATGCAATATAAGTATAATTATTTCCAATGACAAAAGAGGGCAAAGTGTTGTGAGCTGATAAAAAGTCCATTGTAGGAAAGTATTGCCATATTGGGCACCTCAAACTGTCCAACCTCGGGTTGCCCGTGCCATGTTTTCATGATTACTAACTCACCAGATGTAAATTGATGCCATTTATAGAACTAGCAATTTCTGACATACTAAATTGACTTTTTTGCTCTGTATTTTTTCCACAATTTTAAAGTCATTTTGAATGTTAATTACCAATAATAACTTTCCGAATATGACCATGCATGAAATTGTTAATACCATGCCACTGGACATAGTTTTCAACACAAAATGAAAGCGAGAGAAACATTGAAAACAAGATATTCCAGGGGCTAGAGTTGTCTACGGGTGGAATCGACATGGTAGACATCAAACTCAAGACACAGCATCCCTGTTCCAAAAGATGCAAATCCTATACAACAGGGATGGCGAACCTTTTTCAATCAATGGGTCAAAAATTATATTTTTATCACGAAACAGAAGAGTGTAGGTCACAGATATCAATGTTTGTATTTATAAGAAACTTGCTGCTGCATCTTATCTTGCAAATCTTATAAGCTTCAGTCGGTGTTTTAGGATTTTTTCGTGCAGCACTTCTATCAGGGGCTACTAGACTCCTTATGGCACTCGATTTCATGAAATTTGCACACAAAAACATGGATATGAATTACCCCAAAACAGTTGGGATGATGCGGCAATTTTTTTAAGCAGTCAAAGACTTGAGGGAATTCCACTGTGAAAAAATTATATTTTTCGATCGACTTTCAACCACATTAAGGAACTTCTTCCACACTGCCATATTGTTATTTCAGTTTTCTAGGTCTTTAAAATTTGAGTCTAAAAGATTTTTTCTCTCAACGGCATTGTAGGCGAGAAACAAGTAAATGCAAAGTAGCATCTAGTTCTCGTATACTGATAAAAAACAAAACAGTTTGCAGTGCCTTTTCGTTCATGCACTTCCGAAAGGGTGCGCTGTAACAACACGTTGCGACAAAATGAACAGACTATTGTATTGTTACTTATCGATCTTTAGATCGGTAAGTATGTTGATAGGTATTTGTCTGTCTGTCTGTTAGATGCACGCGATATCTCACGAAGGCGTGGTTGAATCTGCTCCAAATTTTGCATGTGCATTCATCATATCTCGGACCAGAAGCCTATTGATTTTGGATGAATTATGTCATATAATTAGCGAGTTATTAATTAGTGATGGGACGCGCTGTGTCACTATAGAGTGATGAACGGAACCGCAGTTTCGATCGATAAGTCTTCGGTCTCCGACCGATACTCTCGTTTTGTCATTAACGATATCACAGCCACAGCTGCATAACAGAATACAGGGAAACACGTACGTCCAAGATTAGGAGTTTTGAAAATTACCATACAGACCCAGAAATAAAAAATTTGAATTTGAGCATTCGCGGGCCTGGCTGCTTAAATGACGGCACATTATAAGTTTACTTATTGGTAAATTTAACTAGAGCCGGTTATATCAATTTTCATCATTTATATGTTAGTAGTATGTTTATATTTCATTCGTGCCTTGGTGGGTCACCGAAAAAACCCAGTGGGTCACTCTGTGACCCGCAGGTCAGTGGTTCGCCATCCCTGCTATACAACAAAGAAAACGATAAGCCTCATGCCACAACTCAATTTTATCGCAATCCCAACAAATTCCTTGAGCTATTTTTGGCTAAAACAGCAAAATTTGGTTTTAGTTTGGTAGTGACAGCATCAGGCGGGCCAGATTGAATTGGCCCGCGGGCCTTAATTTGCCCATGTCTGATCTAGATCCAAGCGAATGGGAGAACACAACCTTGAGTCATCTATACAAAAAATTAAAGCAAAAGTTCTATGAATATCAAAATTCTAAAACCACAGATTGGCAAAAAAATAAATCTACTAAACAACTGGCAAAAACCATCCCCAAATCCGGAACGTCAAACCGCCTATCAAAGAAAAAAGAGATATCTACCTTTTTTGGCATAGAAAATAGAGATACGGATTAACATGTGACAACGAAAACTTAAAGTTAGATTGCAAGCTCTGTAACAGACCCCCGATACTATTACTACTAGGGCTGGGCAAAATATTCGAATAGCGAATCAAATATTCAAATGACATTTTACTATTCAAATATCCGTTAGCATGTCACCTGCAGCTTCGACCGGACACGGAACTCGATTGTGTTAAATCAATTGTGAATTGCGCAAGAATTCACCCACAGCACTCATACATACAAAACCGACAAATTTGAAAAGTTGTTGTCTTTGCGTTATGGTGTTATTTACTTTCTTTTGCAAAATACGTACTGACTGTTCCATAACTTTAGAAACCAGATCAGATATTTACAATAACATTTCTCAGATTTTGATTTAAACTCTGGTGACCGTTTATTATCTATTTCTTGCATGACCCAAACATTGATTGAAGTTTGCCAAATTGAAAAAAGACGATTTTGGGACGTCAGAAAATTCTATTTATATAAATAGCATCAATTTGAGAAGGACCAGTCAACATGTTTCCCAAAGCAGGTATCAGTTACTTGTATGAAAAACACTTTTCAAGTTGCAGCCAGATAAGAAATGACAGGCCATACTCCGTTTAATCCAATGTACAGTACTTTCCATTAGCTCTTTAAGTGATCCCTTCTATTCTTGGCCAAGTGATGTTACGAATATGCGAATATTTTACTCTGCCATACATGGACGGCAGAATGTTAAAATTGTAAACATGGGAAGGTAAAATCAATTGCGAATTTTGTTATAACTCCGCACACTAGCTCGTTAACAAATTGTTGCGCCTGTTATCGTCGGAAATGATTACATTTGTTGTATTTTGAAGCATTTTAGCAGTAATAATTAGGGAATGACATCATCAAAATCGTCAAGTGAGGGGTTGAAATTGCAAATTGCGTAAATAAAATTGTGAATTACTCTGCAACAATTTTAGCTATATAACCGTCGAGGTATTTTTGTTGAAAAAAAAGTTAAAACTTAGGGAATCAGTTATAATGAGAGTCTTTATTATCACGTAAAAATGCATTTCTTTCCAGTTTATTTAATCACTTTCTCAAATCAACATTCAGGATTCATGCATCCGCAAACTTGCAAGGTTTATCTTTATTAATAAATATCTGCATCCCGGTGTCGATAATAATATTAGTGGGACGGTTAATTTACAAACTGAGGTAAGTAAGATCAAAGCCAAAGCAAAAGATAAAAATCAGAATATAATTAATTTCGGTTTCGAAATAAGTCCTTATTAATGTCTTCAACATCTGTTGCCGATGTGAACACACGGTTATACCAGAAATATAAAACTTCGATGTTCGCCGACCCGCAAATATTACAATCTCCAAAAAAGAGAAAGCACAGGATTAGAGATTACCAACTTTAGGGTGTTGCAGTCGAAGCGATCGCGGTGACAAAAACACATAAGACTTTATGATGAATTTGACCAGTAAAAAAAACGCTTTGTTGCCGAAAAAATCGCTTTCCATGTTTCTTTCAATTATTGAGATATTATCGACCTTCGACGTTCTGGACCCCGGTTGTGTATAAAAAAAATATTCGAACTATTCGATTCGAAAAAAGATTACATTTTGACCACCCCTAACTACTACCCATATATTTTTATCAAGCGCCATAAAACTTAGGATTCATTATGATGTTAGGTATTCCTGCGAGCGATAACTGGCCGAAATTTGAATGTATCCCGAGTGGATGTTATAGACCAGTGATTACCAAAGTGGGCTTTATTATCGCCCCCCCAGTGGACGAAAACAATACAAAGGGGGGCGAAAAAGTCGAAGGGGGCGATTTCGCGAAACCTGTTTTTCTTTGCGCATTGTGCACTTGATTACTGTACTCTGCATGCTTTCGTAGGTTTGAATCACGTGGGCGATGTCACAAGCGAAAGAATAGTAAGGTACGGTAGTTTGCGTATCCGCACGCAGGAAACACGCAGAAGAGTTGATGCTGAGTGCAGGGGTTCAATAGCGCAGTAAATATTCAAAAAAATTGCAATGCAATAAGAAAAGAAAATCCATTTTCTATTCGAGGGTATCTTAAAGAAAATCGTTATCAAAATTTCACAAACCATGCGAAAATATTCACTTCGATGTTTGGAAGTACCGTACATATTTGTGCGAACAATTATTTTCGAAAATGAACATTACAAAGAACAAGCAAAGAACTAGTGATGCTATCAAGCGTGATGCAGAAACAAGACAGTGACACATTGAATGTCATTGTAATAATTTTTTAATAAGACAACTGAGTTGAGTTCACGAATTG